TTTTTTTTTTTTTTTTTTTTTTTTATCCTTGCGCAGGGGCCATGCTTATCTTCTCTGTATCGTTCCAATTTTAACGGATGTCCCGAAGGACACATTTTGACCCTTCTTGAGTCTTGATTCGGTACCTTTTCACCAAGGGACATTCGGATCCCTCTTCAGAGTGAAAAGTTATCTGTGGATTTCATACCAGTCCTAGAGAGACTTATCAGAGTCCGTAGGACCCACTGTCGAGCCCTGAACACTTTGCTAGGTAGGTCAAAGGCTACCACCCTTAGAAGAATTTGCACCTCTGGTTCTACCCCATCCCTCGACTCTGTAGGGATCTGTGTACCAAGCGTCAGGCAAGCACTGGACCATATTCTGTAGGATTTTGAGGACCATTCTGATGGACTCTGGTAAGCCGCAGACCTATTTCTCATTCCTACCCCTACCCTTGACTCAGACATTCTGATGGACTCTGGTAAGCCGCAGACCTATTTCTCATTCCTACCCCTACCCTTGACTCAGACATTCTAATGGACTCTGGTAAGCCGCAGACCTATTTCTCATTCCTACCCCTACCCTTGACTCAGACNCTCATTCCTACCCCTACCCTTGACTCAGACATTCTAATGGACTCTGGTAAGCCGCAGACCTATTTCTCATTCCTACCCCTACCCTTGACTCAGACTTTGGATGGAGGCATGTTCCTGTGCTGGGCTTGAACCTGTGGGTCATTGCCAGCCTATTGCCAGGGATGAACAACTCCAGCTGTGTCCTGAACTGAGGACTGGCCCAGGAGGCACATACCTCTGGGCCTCCTGGATGTGCCTCTGGGTCTGCATCCAGGACTGTGCGATCTGCCTCACAATCAGTGGTCCAGGAATGCGTCCCTACCTGGGCTAAAACGGTCTTAGCCCGAGTCCTGCTGGTAGGGACGCACCACTGGTCGAGGAATGCCACGTCTTAGCCCGAGTCCTCGACCAGAGGTGACCTGGGCTAAAACGGTCTGCCTGCGTCCTTACCAGAAGTCCGCGTGGCCCTGCCCTGCTAATACACAGCAGGGCGAATCCAGAATGGACGAGGGCTGCGCCAGGCACTACAGACAAAAAAGCATGAGCTAGCCTGCATAAGGACAAAAGTCTCCTGGCCTCAAAACGACCAAAACGTGGGAACCAGTACTCCACTGGTCCAAACAGGCACACACAAGTGTCTGTTAGGGCAAAACACGAAGCTTGAAAATGCACAACCTGCTGGAACAAACTGCTATGATCCCTACTCAGATTGACCTCCAATTTGCATCCATGCACGCACTCAAAAGTCCACACATGGAATATATTCAATGTGGTTTAATAATTAAAATAATAATAATAATAAAAAAGTCCACACAACTCGCGCAAGTCAAAGCAACAAGAGACATATCAGATGAAAGTCGAAAGTATTTGTTCCAATTGACAAAATTGTTGCAGTAGTTCCAAACAGCAAGTACCAGGCGGCTATGGTCGCCAACACTCCACTCAGTTATGTGGATCTTATTCCCTCTCTCTCTCTCTCTCTCTCTCTCTCT